GCCAGGTTTGTGCAACCACAGAGCCTCTAATTATGCCGGCTCAACCTAGACCCCAGGGGTCATCACCTGAGAAAAAATTGGGGCCAAAACCCATGAAAAATGGCTGCACAATCACTGGACTCCAACCCCGGAAAGGACAGGCAATGGAATGGAGAAACTAGACTCGGAGACGTGAAGTAGGCACATTTGGATTCGAACTTTAATTCCAAATCCTCGAAAAAGTCTGTGATCTCAGTTGCTTCACCTATAAGACAGGGATAATTAAACCAACTCCAAAGGGATCCTGGGAGAGCCACGTGAGACCCAACCACTCTGGAGCAGGTCCTTAACTCTCTTCTTGGCTTCTGGCCTTAAGGAGAGTTCCAATAAATAGGTGTTGGTTGACTAAACGAGTGAGTGAATGTCATTCAAAGCAGAGACTTCAGGAAAAGCACATGACATGCAGCTTTGCAACAAATGACACAGCCACCCACAAACAGGGCAACTCTCCCATGGCTGAAGTCAACATCTTGATGAGCAAGAGGCTTGAGGGGCGTTCCCAATGCACCATCGCAACCATCACTTTAAATACTAGAGACAGGCATAAATGCCTTTATTGATCCAGAAGATTTTAATGGCTCCCTGTGATCATTTCTAAGTGAATTTCACTTCTGCCAGTGAAAACCTTGCCATGAGGAAGGCAATTACAGATGCTGTTTCCTAAGTGGCTCCTGCAGGCTGACCTGTGTGTAGGAGGCTAGGACTCCCCGCCTTCCATGGGGCAGTACTGTGACAAGGGTCACGGGATGGCCATGTGCAAGACACAGCAGGGACTTTTGGGGTCGCACCAGATTTCCTTGAGAGTGAGAGGACGCCTTAAGGCAGCCATAAAATAGAAAGTGTTGTGCCCCTTTCCCAGTGACCCTCGCTGGGAAGGCCAGGACGCTTGTTTCCTGACAGATCAGGGGCTCATGAAGATGTGTGGCAGGAGGCTTGCTAGGAAGATGGCTGGTTCCCAGAATCTTATGTGTCTAGAAAACACAACGCCCAGCTCTTAGAGAGCAATTGCCTGCAGGACAGAGGTGAACTAACCCCCACAGCGGCTCATCGCTGCTGCCCAAAAGGCCAGTGCATGACTAAGCTGCTGGCTCCTGGGTTCAAATTCACTGAAGCTTGAAACTGTGGCCAGTCCCTATGTTCCACTTGTTTCCCCTCCCTCCCTGCAACCTCCCATTGCCCCGAGGGCCTTCTGGATTCTATGGCTAAAAACACACGAGTGGCATTAAGATGGGAGTGCGCTCCATCAAGGGAAGCTGATTTCTGGCATGTTTTGAGGTGAAAGGGAGTACCCTGCATGCTCACTGGCCTGAGCTGGCGCTCAAGCTGACCTCGAGCAAGACATTTGGCCTCATTTCCTTGTCTGTAAATTTGGAATAATTTCCCCTCCTTCCAGGGCAGTGCTGGACAGGAACAGAGACAATGCATGTCAGGCACCCAGTACTGGGCTCCCAGTGGCAAGCCTCTTCTCCCTACTGGGTGAGGTGTCCCACTTGGAGGGGAGTGGGACTATCTTGAAGCACTGGTGGGCTTCTGCATCCCTGCCCCAGGAGCCCAAGGGACAACCTTGGCAACAGGAAGAGGTCATTTAGAATGATTACTCTCCTGGTAGGCTGAGACCCCCATTCCGCAAGCTTAGCCCAGGGGGATTTTTCTCTCCCAAGAGGCTCCCAGAGAAAGAAGGGGCCCTCAACCTGCAGTTGCTCTTGATTGCTGTCCCAGACAAGTAAGGGTGGGAAATCCTGAGGGGGGCCTGGAGTTTGACGTTTTTCCAGCTGGGGGGCCACAGTTTCACAGTACCCTGGCAAGAGCTACAAGCTGTGGTGAAAAAACCCACGGAGCGACCTCAGGAATAGCCAGACTTGTTCTGATGCATGGAATTTTTAATTCTGAATTTTTGCTGCTGCTACTTTCTTTGTGAAATCACTTTCTCAGCAGAGACAATGTTTGGGGCCCCCCCATCCGTCCTCATTGTCTCATCTCTAGGCTAAATATATCTCAGCTTGTTGAAACCAGCATCCACATAAGAACCAGATGGTGGCGAGATTTAGGAGGGTGGGGGCGATCTGGCATTCTCACATTGCAGGGGTTAGGGGCTGGCCGTCTTCCACAGGCCAGGCTGTACTCATAGACTTCGCGTCTCACACTGCCCCTTACGAACTGGGGAGTTGCTCTGGAAGGTGCCTGGTGCCATGAAAAGTGGTGAATGGCTTGATGGATTGAGCACTGTCTGAGGAGTCAGGAGGCTGAGACTTGACTTTGCTCTGCTGCCACTCACAGATGCACTCAGGGAAGTCCCTCACCCCCACCACCAAACAGATTTCCCACCCAGAGCACCAGAGTGGGGAGGTGGGCTCTAGGAATTGTTCCATCCTTGAGGCTCATAAGAGCAAACAACTGGAAATGACCCCAGTGCACCCTCCCTAAACCAGGACCTATCTCTGCAGTGGGACCCTTGGTAGGTCCTGATGGGGAAGGAGCACCAAAAGGCTGCTAAGCAAAACCACAAAATAAAACCCACAAAAACAAACACACCAACCAAAAGAACAGAAGCAAACACAGAGTACCCCTGACATACAGAGCAAGCTCCCATTTGTGTGAAAAAGAACAAATGAAGTGAGCATTGACAGGAGATGCAGAGACTCTCACTGGTACCATGGGTTGCTGCCCACACCGACTAGGCGAGAGACTCCCTGCATCCTCTTTCAATCTTTGGAATTTTGAACCATAGAAATGTCTTATTCTTAAAACTTTTAAATTACATTAAAAAATAGATCCTGTGAGACTTTCAGGAAGGTTGTCAGACAAGACTAGAAAATGTGCCAAGAGTGATGAAGTCTTCCAGGGGCAGGGTGGCCAAATGCATCATGGACTCTGTCAGCCAAAATTGCCAGAGATGCAGGAGCAGCAACAGATTTCAGGGAGGGGAGGCTGGGCCCTCAGGTCTGGGCCAAAGGGAAACCTCATTTGTCTTGGTTAATAAGAGGAGACCTGTGTTCCCCCAGGGGCAGCTGGCTCCTGATGTCACAAGGTGATCTATTAGCACAAGACTTTGAAAGGTCACAATGGTGGCCTTGCCCAGACATGCCCCCTCCCCTGGTCAGCGTGGAACCCAGAGGACTCTGGGAGGAAACCTTGTTGGTCCCACCTCCAGGCCCAGCTGCCAGGGTCCCCCTGGTGCACTTTATCTGAAGACCTACGGTCCCTGGCTTTTCTCTAAGAGAAAACATCCATTGCAGAAACATCCATTTTCTCCCCTGGGGAAATATCCTAGATTCGGAGTGAGCAGCCCTGGATGCAAACCCATCACAAGGGCCATACAGTCCTGGCCAGCCATTCATCCTTCCTAAACCCAGGTTTTCCCCTCTGGAAAGCGCTGCTGCGACCTGCTCCTGGACTGGAGGGGAGTTAAGTGAGACAATGCCTGGGAAAGCACAGCGCATGCCTGGCATTGGCTGAACTTCAAAGACCTGCATACAGCAAATCCCACGGAACGCAGTGGGAACACCCCTGCCGCTGTGAGCCTGGGCTGCTTATTCTACTTAGATAATTAGAATCACAGTCACGGGAGATGCTGAGTAGGTCATGCCTCCTCCTCTCCCCCCTGCACATTTCAATGATGAAGAGGTAGTGCACATCCAGGCATTGTGATGCTAAGGGACCTCGATCATTCCATGACAGACCTCTGGTGCTGTCCCACACAGCACTGAAATTCATTAATGACAGTCGATTTCAGTAAGTCCGTGATTTCCTTCAACTGGAGTAAAATCAAAGGAGATATCATCCATCTCTCTCACAAACTAAGTAAATCACTGTTCTCTGGCTAAACTATCAGAGAGTCCCCAGTTTCTTGTTTGCGCATCCCAGCCCCATTTCAGATGGCTGAGATTTTCTGTATTTAATTGAAAGCCTGTCTCTAGAGCCAGGAGCAAGTCTGTGGTCATGGGCTGAAGGAAACCCTTTGTGGATGTTTTTATAAGGTTTCATTCCCTGTGCTGTGTTGAGGAAAGAAGGGTATGGGATTAAGAGCTAATGTCATTATTTAAATGATCCCATAGTCCATAGGGTAGGCCTGTGGGTGATGGCTGCCCAGCGCACCTGGCACCATGACTTACCACCTCATCTATTTCTCCTTTGAGAGTCTCCAGAACTGGCTCAGGAGGCAGCAGCCCCTGCCTGGTGCTGAAGTGAGACTGAGGATTCCTTGGTGCTACATGGGGTCAGGATTTTCCACCTTCACTGGGGCTATGTATCTACCTTAAACTTGATGCCTTCAAGACTGGGTCTAAACTGATACCCTGTCAACAAGCCAGTGTCATAAGCAAGCAACCTTCCAAGGTCACTGGTTTCATCTCCTTTCTTGGGGGAGAGAAGGTGCCTGCTCCAACTCTAGATATTATTTGCTGGTTCATTTGCCTCGGCAAAAGCAGCTCAGAGCCCCGGCACCTACAGGATATATTGTTCCTGTGAGTTATTTCAATCAGAAAAACAAAATGACGGATCCCTACCAGTCAGAGGTCGAAAGTGCCCAGGACGGGGGACAGCTGCAGTGAATGCAACCGCATCCTGCAGTTAGGAGTCCCTGCAGTTGCACTCACTGCTCACTTTCTGCCGAGGTTGGCAAAGAGTCAATGAAAAACAGCCCAGGCCTTGAGTGTGACTTGTTAACAAACATGACTTTGCTGGACCAATAACAGGCCTAACCTCTTCTCCTTTTAAAATTCATCAGTAAGACATGCGCAAACAGGAAGGCATAGTCCTTTTGTCTTGGGGGGAACATGCACCTGCCTTCAGAAATTACAGAACCCTGGTGGCAACAGTGTTGGATATTTGTCCAAACCCTTACACAATGGTCTGAGGTCCAAGGATGGCCTTTGGCCCTTTTACACAGACTCAGGCTACAATTGAAAGCCCCATGTCCCAGGGAACCTGCAGGAGTTGTACAGACTGGAAGTTCCTTTTACCTTAAAAGTTGTTGCAGATTCAGGATTGGCAAGAACCAGAGGCGAAATGAGTACCATGCCGGCGAAGAAGCCCGGTCTCTCTGCGGCCGTGAGGATGACGATGGCACCTCCCTGTAATGCAGAACGGGCAGAGCTGCTGTGTTGGGCTTGCACCAGTGCACATATTTCTAATAAACACGACCAATGCAGTCTTCTTGAGCTGCAGTCCTGGCCAAGAGCCCTGAGGAGGACTACCTTGGAAGAGGCACCATCAAATGTTGGATAAACTAGATCTGCAATTATTTTATTACACATGTTTTTTTTTCTGGGTTTTCAAAGAGCAAACATTGCAAAGAGATATAAATAAGGTTCTTGCTTGTGGGCTGCAAGTTAAACAATAACACATTCCCACTTCATTTCAAGCCCAAAGCTGGCAGAACCCCAATTCATCCATCCCGACAAACTTAATAGGAGGGTTTTTTTTTTTTTGGTTCGGGGTAATCTGATCATAATAATAGATTGCTATATTATACTTTTCCTGGTTTAGTTAAAGGTCCTAGAAATTTAAATTCCAAGAAAAATGGGAGTGAACGTGGATGGTACTGAAGGAGGCCTCACCTGTTTGCTGAAGCACAAAGGGGCTTGAAAGCAAGGGTTGCAATCGCAAATGCTCACAGGGGCCCGGCAGGTAAGAGAAATGTAAGGACAGAGGCAGGCAGTGACCAAGGGGTGGGAGGCAAGACCTGCCCTGGTGAAATGTCCTCAGGCATTCAAATTCAAGCAGTTCAGTATATTTTGATCAGCCAACCAGCCTGCTTTTTCTGTAGGTAGATTTGGCCTGGGGGCTGCCAGTGTAAGGACCCTGATGTAAATATTACATTTACTTGATTCTTAGAAGGTTTTAAATATTTAAAAGGTGGAAGAAGTTGGAATAAACTTTAAGGAATTGTTTCCATGGGGATCCTTTGTTTCTAGCTATCATTTGTTGTCTGTACTGTACAATTCTGAAACAAGCACACAGGGTTTGGGGACATTTCGTGTGCTTCTTATTGATGGAGAAGCTAATCCCCTCTCCAAGAAGTGGCTCTTAGTAGCCTCACTGTTAAATGGCACCAAATAGGCCAAGGAGCATTGAAAAAAAGATCAGTTTTCAAGAGGCCCCATACTCTGCTTGGTAAGGACGAGCTGGCGACCTCCCTTGTTTCCTAAGCACAGAATTGCCCAGGAACTCCAAGTGCAGTGCATAAAAGGAGATATCATGCCAGCCAGGCAGAGAGCAGGTGGGGCAGGGAGTCAGGGCCACCCCCTTCCCTCTGCAAGGCTGGGGGCCAGGCTGGATTTGACCTGGGTCTTCTGTGGTCTGCTTACCATGGAATGTCCCAGAAGGAAGACAGGAAGCCCAGGGTAGTCTTTCTGCACGGAATCCACATGCTGCAACACATCTCTGACAAAAACATGGAAGTCAGACACTACCATCCTTTCCCCTTCGCTCTGTCCGTGACCAACTGGAAAGGAACAGGAGATGAGAGAGAGCTACAGTTACCAGGTCGGCTCCTGCCCAAGCCCAGAGGTCTCCTCACTGCAATCACCAGCCTCTCTCTCCTAAGCGCCTGAATGTGTCACCTCATTTAACCCTTTCCGGCCACTCTTGAACACTGGAATTCTTCTCCCCACATTTTATGGATTAGGAAACTGAGGCACACAGTGGTTGAGGAACGTGCCAAGACCACAGCACTAGGAAGCGATGAGCCGGGGTGTACATACTACAAAGCCTCCCTCGGGGCGGTTTCCAAGGAAGGGAGAAAGGACAGGGGCACAGAGAGCCTCAGCATGCCCAGTTTTCTGCAAAGTGGCCAGGAGTAAGACGAATAAGGCTCAGAATTTTCCTACATTTTCCCTGTTCCTGGCCCCTGGCGGCTGTGCCTGAATATTGGCCTTTCACCAGGTAGAGTGGTACACTTGGCCCCTCATCTTACAGCTTTAGGTGAAGATGATATGACAAACATAAAACGAAGTGCAGTCGTCGGGTGTGCTTGCCAGCAAGCTTCTCAACGAAGCTGCAGTGAAACTAGGTCACACTCTCTCCCTCTTGGGTGTAATCTGCCACATATCTGTGCCATTCACCTGCTTGTTCTTTCCTCAGAGCCCTCCACTCTCTCCCTCTTTGAAGGACATCAGTCGCTATAGAAACAACTCACTGGCTGTGGCTTCACATTCGGGCTGAAAGCAGCTGTGATGGTTTGAAAATTGCAAAAAAGAAAACACTTCTGGAGAACTGGGACCACACAGCCAGAGGGGCTGCCCAAACCTTCCCTGCTGAGAGCCTGAAGCACTCATTAAGCCTCTGCCACCTCTGAGGAGGCTTCTGCACTAATAACCGTCACCACCTGGAACTCATAGGCCGCCCAGACTTCCAGCTTGGAGACCCTCCTGCTGTCAGGCCCTGAGCTCCCGTGTTTCCCACTGGCCTGTCCCCCATGCCCACCTTCCCGGCCACCGCCCCATGGTCTCTCTGACCATCCCACTGGGCCCGGGGTCCCCTACCCTCTCAGCAACACTCCCTGTTCCCTGGCTCTTCTGTGTGTTTTCTCTTTTAAAATTTGTTTTTACTTTTTACTTTTAAATGTACAGTTCAGAGGCATCAAGGACATTATTGTGCATCTCGGTACTTTTTCATCTTCCCATGCTGAGACTCCACACCAATTGATATGGGTTGACTTGTGTTGCCCAGATCCATATGTCAAAGCTCTAACCCCCGGGATCTCGGAATGGAACCTTACTTGAAGACAGGGTCTTAAAAAACATGATTAAGTTAAATGAGGTCCTTAGGGTGGGCTCTAATCCAAATGACTGGTGTCCTGTAAGGAGAGGGGATTAGGACCTAGACATAGAGGGAAGGTGATGTGAGGATGCAGAGAGGCAGCGGCCATCCACAAGGCAAGGAGAGCCTGCGGGAGAAACCGACTCTGCTGATGCCCTGATCATGGACTTCCAGCCTCTGGAACTGTGAGACAATAAATGTCTATTGTTGAAGCCCCAGTTGTGGTCCTTTGTTATGGAAGCCCTGGCAAACTCAGACACCTATTAAACCCCAACTCCTATTTCCTCCCCACTATCTCTTTCCCCACACCCTGGCACCCTCTATTCCACTTTCTGCTTCTATACATTTGACTTCTCTAGGGACTTCCTATGAGTGGAATCAGGCCATATTTGTCCTTTTGCGTCTGGCTTATTTCATGTAGCACAGTATCTTCAAGGCGCATCCATGTAGTTGTGTGTGTCAGAATTTCCTTCCTTTTTAAGGCTGCATCACCTTCCATTCTGTGGATGGACCATGTTCTGTTTATCCATTTGTTTGTTGATGGACTATTTGGGCCGTTCCCACCTTTTGGCTGTTGCTAATGATGCTGCGGTGAACATGGGTGTGCAAATATTTCGTCACATCCCAGCTTTCAATTCTTTGGGGTATACACTCAGAAGTGGGACTGCTGGGTCAGATGGTGATTCTGTGTTGAATTTTTGAGGCATGTCCCCCCATTTACATGTGGAACATCTCTCTGGATGCAGCCCCTGCTCCTCCGCAGAAACTGCCACTCTCCACTCTGAAGCCTGAGGGCTGGCTGCACACGAACACTGAGCCAAGGCAACACCAGGGCTTCCCAGTGACCTGCTGCCTCTTCCCACAAGCTTGGTCCCCAGCCACATTCATCTGGGCATCTCTTCCTGATATCTCTATTTTCCCAAAGCTTACAATCCTACCTCATGACCCTGAGGACCCAGTGTCACTCATCTATTTTGAAAACATGGGGACAGTCTGAAATGGTGCTCTACATCAGAAGCATCCCCCTTCCTGATTCCGACCACTCCCAGCCCAGCCAGCTCCTGTGCCAGCTGCATCCCTGTCCTCTTCCTTCATCCACAGCCCCCCAGCTGCCCTCTTCCCTTCTTCTTCCCTTTCCTCCTTAAGGGTTGATCCACGTGGCCCTTTCCCCACCTACATTCTCTCTCTAGCCCTGGAGGCTCTGCACAACCCTCAGCTGAGTCAACCCCAGTGGGCTTTTCTCCACCCATCCTCTTCTGAGCTCTTGGCTCACTCAGCACCACATGCTCCTGCTGACCTTGTCATGGTGCATGCTTGGAAATGAACTTCCACTCCTGGAAATGACTTCTCATCCGACTGTGTTTTCTTCCCTGGATGATTTCTGTACTTATTCATTCATTCATTTTTAGTTTAAAAATTGCATTTTAAAAGATACTCGATTCACATGGTTCAAAATCAAACTGGTATGAAAGGTGTACACTGACGGTTCCTTTCCCACCTGTTCCCATCCACCTGATTCCCCATCTTCCCTTAAACTCTTCTCTTAGTGTCTCAGCCTCTGTACAAGCAAATACAAATATAAATCCTGATTTTTACCCCAGTCCTAAATAAAGAAACACATAACAGATCCTGCTCTGCGTGGGGCTTTGTTCACTCGACACTATATCCTGCAGATCTTCCAATGTTTGAAATAGGACTCCTCTCCAACTTCTTACTACGAAATTTTCAAATGCACAAAAACACTGAAAAGATATTTCAATAAATACCCATATGCCTACTATCTTTATTCAACAGTTGTTATCATTTTATTTGCTGTATATATACACATTTATGAATATAAAAATGGCTGAATATTTTACAAGTAAGTTGCAGCTGGACAAGGTGGCTCAAGTCTGTAATCCCAGTGCTTTGGGAGGCCAGGGTGGAAAGATCACTTGAGCCCAAGAGTTTGAGACTGGCCTGGGCAATATAATGAGAGAGAGAGACCCTGTTGCTACAAAAGTATTTAAAACATTAACTGGGTATCAGTGGTGTGGTGGCACACACCTGTAATCCTAGCTACTTGGAATCACTTGAGCCCATGAGGTTGGGGCTGCAGTGAGCTGCATGCCAGTCTGGACAAGTAAGACCCTGTCTCAAAAAAAAATAAAAAGAAAGAAAGAAAGTGAAAGAAAGAGAAGAAAGGGAAGAAAGGGAGGGAGGGAGGGAGGGAGGAAGGAAGGAAGGAAGGAAGGAAGGAAGGAAGGAAGGAAGGAAGGAAGGAAGGAAGGAAGGAAGAAGGGAAGGAGAGAGGGAGGGAAGGAGGGAGGGAAGGAAGGAAGGAGGGAAGGAGGGAAGGAGGGAGGGAAGGAAGGAAGGAGGGAAGGAGGGAGGGAGGGAGGGAAGGAAGGAAGGAAGGAAAGGGAGTAAATTGCAGATTATAACAACAGGCAAATCTGAGTAAAGGATCTACAGGGGTTTTTTATACTATTCTCGCAAACTTTCTGTAAAGTTGAAGGTACTTCCAAATAAAAAGTGTTATAAAAACAATTCGTAACTATTATGATACTTCACCCTAAGCATTCAGCATGCTCAATGACATTCTCCTCATAACTACAACACCATTTTCCTGCAGTAAGTTAGCAGTAGCTCCCTAATATCATCTAATACACAATCCAAACTCCAATTTTCCAGATGTCTCCAAGTATTTTATAGCTGGAGTTTTAGAAGCAGGATGCGAAGTTCATATGCTGTATTTGTTTGCTATGTTCCTTTAGTCTTAGAGAGGCCAGACTTGTAAATGTTCCACATCTTGTGTCTGTCTTCCCTCATGGTGTCATTTGGCTTGTTCCTGTGTTTCCATTCATTATCAAGAACTTCCTCTCTTCCTCTACACAAATGTACCAGGCTCACCTTATACTTTCCTTGTCCCAGACTTGGAATTAACTATTTCTCCAGGGAGCCCCAGTTCCTTTCAGTGTTTAAAAATCAAGATTTAAAGTTGGGAGTGTCCAATGCCATCAAGGTGCCTTTATTTTCATGCTTTTCATGAGGCAGAGTGGGAAAACTTAATTCTTTTTTTTTTTAATGAGTCTTAAGAAAACTTAATTCTTAAAAAACATGAGTTTTTTTAGATATAGATATTTTCAACTATAAATCAATGTTCTGGCTAGGCACAGTGGCTCATGCCTGTAATCCCAGCACTTTGGGAGACCAAGATAGGCAGATCTCTTGGGCCCAGGAGTTCAAGACCAGCCTGGACAACTTGGCAAAACCCCATCTATAAAAAAAATACAAAAATTAGCCTAGCATGGTGGTGCACACCTGTATCCCAGCTACTCAGGAGGTTGAGGTGGGACAATCACTTGATCCTGGGAGGTTAGCGTTGCAGTGAGCTATGATCGTGCCACTGCACTCCATTCCAGCCTGGACAACAGACCAAGGATGTCTCAAAAAAAAAAAAAAAAAGCAAGAAATCAATGTTCGACAGTTTTCTTTTACCTTCTGTGATTTTGTATTTTATCTCTTTTCTTTGACACTGAAAATCTTGGTTCCTAACAGCATTAGCATATTTACTTATAGCATAGCTTCGAAATTATAATACCAATATTGCCACCAACAATAAGCCTATCACAAGAAGCTAGAAATGCTAGAATATAGGTCAATAATAATATAACCAGAGTATTGTGTTTGAAGTTCAAATTC